AGTGTATGTCCATACTTCTGGCCATCTCTCATTCTGGACATAGTGGACAATAAAATATAATGCTGAAGACTCTGCCCATTGGAAGGATTCTCCTTCATCACTGTCCTTCAGGGCCACCCCTGAGTGAGCTATAATGCTGTGGCTTTCCACTTTTGGATGATACAAGCATACTATACAGACCTATCTGTAAACCAGGCACTTCGAGTTTTTTCTTAGTCAACTGCTCATAAGAAGCACCCCAGGAGGCGATAGGCATGGATTGAGGGGGAATAGGTGATGCAAAAAATGTCGGCATTGAAGGAGTCTGAGCCAACTGCTTATGCAACCTATCGTTTCTTCCAGACTTGCCCAAGCTTGATCTCTTATATATCATTTCCATTTGATAAAAGATTGCTGCTGCATTTGCCCCACCTTATGGCTATGTGCATCAGACAATATTCTGTTCACGATGGGTAAGCTTATGCTGCATGATAACCTGATATTCCACGTTAGGCACTTCATCTCTACTGAGGTCCAGTAGCAAACAAGAAGCTGTTTCTGAAAAGGAGAATAGTTATCTGCAGAAGAGGGCATATGTTTGCTCCAGAATCCTTGATTTCTGCTCTGTGATTCTCTCATTGGTGCTTGCCAGAGGATCCATAGAGCATCCCTATTTGCCACGGACATTTAAAGCATCATTGGATTTTTTGGATCATTCAGTCCAAGTGGTAGAGCAGCTTGTACCACTGACCAAACTTACTACACGGCCTTCTCTTGTTCCGATCTTCACTGAAACTTGCAGCCTTAAGGATGACTCTGTCAATGGGTCAATGTAGAACACTAAAATACTGTACATTTTGTCTTCAGACTCAAAAGAACTTTAAGTGTTATGTCTCTTTTTTTCATTGGAGGTGTTGCAAAGTGAAGCAACTTGTCCTTCATCTTGGATGGGATATCTCAACATGTTTCAGAACAATGAGCATCCAGATAGTTCACTAAGGTGGCAGGTCCCTGAATTTTTATGGGGTTTATCTTCCACCCTTTGGTTTGCATATGTCTTACTAAGGATCTAAAATACTTGCTGTTTCCTTATGATCAAATCCAAATAGCATAATGTCACTTCAGTACACCAGTAAGATGTTTTGTGGAATGTCAACACGATCAAAATCTATGCAGATTATATGATGGCAGAAAGCGGGAGAATTGACAAAGCCCTACTTAAGGTGACACTCTGAGTGTATACTGTTCACCCTTCCAGGTGAAAGCAAACTGCTACTGGTGGTCCTTTCAAACTAGTGTGGAGAAAAAGGAAATTAGTACAAAGAACAAAGAAAAGGCTGAATACCAAGTGCCAGGACTGTGTTGATTTGTTCCAGTAAAGATACTACAGATGGGACAGGAGCTGCAATTGAAGTCACCACCCGATTAGGTTTATGATAGTCCACAGTCATTTTTCAAGATCCATCTGACTTTTACACAATTCAAACTGTTGCATTAAATGGGGATGTGATGGGAACCACACCCCTGCTTCTTTCAAGTCTTTTATGGTGGCATCAATCTGCAATTCCTCCAGGGATGCAGTAGTGCTTTGGCTTACTATATTGGAAAAAAGCGAAAGTTTCAAGGGCTTCCAGTTAGCCCTTCCCACTATAATGGCCCTCACTTTCTGGGTTAGTAAGGTAATGTAGGGAATCTCCCAGTTGCTAAGTATTTCTGTTTCAATTATACATTCAGAAACTGGGAAAATAATCTTAGTTGATCAGCTGGTCCTACTGTGAGTTGAACCTGAGTTAAGATTCCATTTATCACCTGAACACCATAAGCCACCACTTTGGTCCCCAGAAATTAGGATCAATTCAGAGCCAGTGTTTAGAATCCTCAGAAGGTCTGGGTATTTTCTTTTCCTCAAATGCACTGTTACTCTGCTAAATGGCTGCAGGTCTCTTTGGAAAAGGGTTAGAAGAAGATTTATGGTGTGTACTTGTGGCAATGGAGTATGGGTCCTTCCTCAAGGGCCTCTAACCTT